GTTCCCAGAAACCTGCCCACACAACAGGAATGCAGCAGGAAAATGGAAAAGCCCCTGTACAATTTGGCTTAGGACAGGGGTGCAAAAGCACCTAACCCTGGATTCTTGAGTCTGGGACTGATCCTAAGCCCTCCACATGATCTGAAAATGGGATATGTTCAGGATGCTACAAAGGGAAGAAAGAAATCTCCATTAACAAGATGAGATAAATAATAAAAAAAATGCAAAAAAATTGCCCAAAATGACCGCTATTACATGGAACGTGAAAACAAATTGTTGAAATGAAATGCCAGCTGCTACAGGAGAAAAAAAAATGGGGCAACAAGTAAACACAGAGATAAGTGATTAATAATGCCCATTAATTATTAATACCTTTCTGGAAAGCATTTGAGGAATTTTTTTTTTTTTTTAAGTTCATAGCGCCAGAATTGTATCAGACATAGCTCACAGGCAAAATAAATATTGCAAGAGTGAGAAAAGCCCTTTCTGAAGCTGCCATACTACACAGTGTGCTCAAGTGTACATGCAAGAACAGTGCATTGCCAGGACGCTTACGCTCCCCGTGCTACGGGGGCGACCACGCTGAACGGCCACACTCCGGCCACCCAGGGCCACCTACCTGGGCCATCCTCAGAGCACAGAAGGGCTCCCGAGTCTTGCCGGGCAATAGACATGGGCAAGACTTTTCTGGCAGAAATGTTTTCAGTGTTAGTGGCAGCAGAAACGGTGGCACTTGCGGTTGAAATATTGGATGGACTTTTGGTCATGGCTCCGTCCAAGTTTATCTCATCCGTGTCAGAGTCATCCGAGTGCAGAGGATTAGTGAAACAGAGGGGTGCCCGAAGAGCAGGAGCAGAAGGAGCAGCTGGATCACCGCAGGGGAGTTCGGCCATGGGGTGTGATGCTGGAGAGGCTGTTCTTACACCGTGACACAAGGTGTCCGGGGACGTGTCTGGTGTGCGGGGGGCATTGTCAGGCCCACGCAGCGACCACTTGGCTTGTCCCTTTTCCACCAGTGGCAGCCGATCGGGCCTGGGTGGAGCTGCCGCCTGCGGGCTCGGAGGGCTGCCCGGCGGCAGCTTCGAGGCTGTGCTGGCCTGGGGCACGTCGCACTCCACACACGAGTCCTGAGCAGCACCTGCAAAGGAACCCCCCGAAATCTGCTCCTGGGCCTTCCAGCTCTTATCAGGTCCACAGGCTGAGAGAGGCTTCGCCTTGACGGCGTGGCCCCTGCTCAACAGCGAGTTCCCATCGAAGCTGCGCGGTCCCTCCTGGAGAGGGACCTTCTTGATCTCGAAGCTCAGGTTGCGCTCCAGCCGCCTCTCCGCACGCTCGCCGGCGTCGCTCCTCCCCGCAGGCTCTGCTGCCTTGTTGTAGTTCTCGTTGAGGTCTGGCGAGTGCTCCGATGGAACCATGTGCAGCACCGGCTTCGGGTGGTACCTGTCGTTGTCCTGCCACACGGTAGTCACTGTTGGATAGGCTGAAGGAGGAGATGGGGTTAAGATTGGTGGTACTGGCTGAGGCTCTGGAGGCTGCAAGATTTCTTCTTTAGCATCTCCTTCTACAAGGCAACTGTAGGAAAAAAAGAGAAGTGTAAGTAAGAGAGAAGTATATTTTGCAGTATCTTAGATAAATGAAGCAATGCTTTGACATCAATATGGAGCTCAGAGCAGCACTTCCACACCCAGACACTGGTTGCCAAATGTGGCTAATGGGGCAGGCAGGAATTAACAGAAAGTCCTTAGAAAGTCCTTCCCAGTGTCACGGGAAGGCACAGGGGGCTCCGCGGAGGCTCCTGGCTGCTTTAAGGGCTCCCAGCCCTCCCAGAGCACGCCCGGAGCGCGTGTCCCGCGGGATCCCGGCCCTCTGGCGGCAGCAGCCCGGTACTTTTTTCTCTTAAAGAAGAGATGGCTCAGAAAAATGCAGCAGACAAAGCAGTTTTCAATAAAAATAAGGAAAAAAGGTGTTCTAAAAGCCTTATCTAAACCACAGTACAGCCTGTTTGATACCCACAATCTCCCACCCCATCCCTCCGGCTCTCCAGGAGGTTTTGGATATTGGTGTATCTGACAGTTTCTCCACAGCGTAAGGAGGCAGATGCAGCTCAGGTGGGTGCACAACATCCCAGCAGAGCACAGAGGGGAGTCACAGCGCTCACCAACAAGCTCCAACACTCATTATAGCTCATCGGAAGCGTTGCTGACTTGTCTTGGGCATTGCTAACCTAACCCCCCACCCCAGGTATCTTGCTAAAAGGAAGCAGCTCTTCCTGCATATGGACACGTTACTTCAGATTAAATACAGAATATTTTACTACAAATATCTGGCAGAGGTGCTTAGGGACTTGTATACAAACTGGATTTTAGAGCCTTTAAATATGATTCCTTTCGTTACCTTAGACTAATAACACTGTAACAGCTGAAGCGCAAAACACGTTTGTGACAACAAGGGAAGTAGAATAGACTGAAATGTCTTTTGGAGAGTTTCATTTTCTTTAGGCTATTGAATCAGGAGATAAAGACACAGTCCAAGTTCTGCCACTCTCTCTATGTCTATGGGAACATCCTGCAGTCCAGCCTGACCTCCAGGAGAAAGCTCTGAGTCTCCTGCCCCAGGGTGTTGGTGATGCTTGCAAGAGAAATAGCCTCTTATTTGCAGATGCAATCAAGACCAGAAAGCCAGAAAGCAGGGGCTTCTAATGAGATAAAAACTTGTACTGCCTGCTAGATCACAGACCACAGGGCCAACATTCTGCTGTCGTCGTGTGCAGCCTGGGAGAACAGGGCAGCCCTGGAGGACGGCGGGCCGAGAGGAGCCTCGTGCCGCATGGGGCACACGTCGATACGTGGATTATGTTCCCAGACACCTCCACAGTAACGGTGCTGACCCCTGCATGACTAACTCTGACAAGGAACGAGAATGAGAAAGGCCTTGCATTTTAGAGACTTGACGGGTTTCATGAAAAGGGGAAGAAACATCTCCATGAGCCATGGGCTACACCCCGACCAAAGACAGGGCACTTCAGCGCCCGACATCCAGACCCATGAGCACTCGGAGCGCGCGGCGCTTCCTCCCTTCCTCCATGGGGGAAACCCACATTGACACCAAGAGTCCAACGAGGCTAATGAGTTTGAGAAGCTCCACAGGAAGCCCAAGAAATCTCTACTGTATCGTCACAGACAGCCACATTCCCGAGGTGATCAGAAATCAAAGTCTTTCAAGTCCTTTATAATCAGACAGGTACCAAGACAGAGAGGCTGTCACTATGGCCAAAACATTAACAAGACTGTTTAGAACCATGGGCAGACAACAAGGAAGAAACTTGCTATTAATATAACATCTCAGCTGACTATAAAACAACCTCTTCCACTCTCTGCTGGCTCGAGGTCTATCTCAAGGGTCTGGGTGGGCCTTACATTCCTCCTCCTCTCTGTACACTCCTTTTCTGTTGTATATTAAGTTAAAGGCAGATGGAGGGATGCAAAGCACTTCCAGAGCAACTTGGTCAAGCATCGTTTCAGAGCTATTTGGTTCTAGACATCTACGAAAAACCAGCCACTTTCAGCATAAGTTATTTGCTTGAGTTAGGAAACCTAAGGTCAGCCAAGAGGGTCCTGCTCCAGCTCAGTATGGACTAAGGCAGACAGAGGAGCTTCCCTTTGGTTTCTCTCCTCTGTGCCAGGAGAAAGGGAGGCCACGTGGATAGATGCAGAGTTCCAAGCCCTGCCTTACCAGCAATGACACTCTTCAGTTCCACTGACTGCATTTTCTTGACCCACAATTTCACCTTCCATCAACAAAAACAATTTCTTACCTGGTACAGACACACCATTAAGCACCACAATTAGCTAAATAAGCAAGCTAGCATTAAAGCAGAATTGACCAGATGGCAGGCCCATAACACTGGTCAAAATTCATGCAGTTCTTCCCTGACTGCTGCTTAATGAAACCACTTTCCCATTTGATTCCCAGGTAAACGAAAGCCCGGCTGTGAACACACACCCTCCTGGAAGCAGGGCACCTAAGTTAGGATACACACAGTGCTGAGCAAGGCAGCGAGCAGGATTTGTAGCCCTGCTTAATCATCTTCCCTTCCCTCATATACAGCGCAAAGATCCTCCCTATTATATTTGAAGCTGAAAAATTTCTTTCATTTACTCCAGATTAAGAACTTACAGTCATCAAATGAGCAACCCTCCTTTCCTGGCTTTACTACTACACTACTACTGAAGACTATTCATCCATTCTTATCTTTGGCATCTCAAAGAAAGTTGATGAAATAGTGTTTTCTTTTTTTTCTTTTTTTTTTCCCCAAGGCAATAGATGTCACCCAATGTCTTTTTTTTTCTTTTTTTTTTCTTTTTTTTTCCTGAATGGAATAACTTTTCCATTTTATTGGCATCAGAGTCTTGCCATCTCACACATTTACAATCCAAATGATGGGGTTTTTTCATGTAGCTGAAGTATCAGGATGCACATAATATTTCCCAGGAGGTTTTTGTTTGGCAGTAGCCATTTCTGAAGCTCTTGCCACAAAGCTATAGGAAAGTACAAATACCTTGGCCTGACACTTAATGCTTTCTTTGGGCATTTCCTTCAGTAGCTGATTTTAGACAGACTTCTCCTCCCAATGATGCAAAGATGAAAATTTAACATTATCCAAAACAGAGTATTGTATCATAAAGACAGCTTGATTGGATAATGCCAGGAAATTAATGCAAAGCTCATAAAAGGGGATACTGAGACAGAAAAGCCTCCGTGAACCGAAGAGTGTCGGATCATTTGAGAGAAAAGCTTCCTGGCTTCCTTGAATTCATTCCTTTAATTCCACATTGTTTTCCTGTATTGCCAAAGCAAGCACTTCAAGTACAACTCAATGTGTAAAATCAGTGTACTGAAAAATGGCCATCTCTTAATTAAACCTTGACCATGTCTTTTCATAAAGAACTGCTACTGAGTATCTTGCAGCATACCACATCTCTGCCCTTCCTCCTCACATCTGCACAGGAAATTTCCCTAGGTGATCGTGGCAGTTTTTCCATAGTTTTTTATTGTCACACAGTCTGAACAGCTGCTATAGTACCTGATCCCCAAGTGGAGCTTGCCAAGATTCCCAAATAAAGTTAATTGCTTCTCAGCTGTCAAGTAAATCACACATCAGGTGCTGCCTCTGAGCTACTGGTGGGCCAAAAAAAAGGAACAAGGAGGAACTAGATTTGGAAATTGTGAGCACATTTCTGGAGAATCACTTGAAAAGGCACCTGTGAGGTAGAATTTGAGCAGTTTTATGGAGATATTGATTTGAGCATTTGAGCATAGAATTTGAGCAGTTTTATGGAGATATATCAGCACAGGGCATTTAACTGGGCTTCCCCTAAATTCATGGCCAGCTTCTGTAAAGGATGAATCCAAACAGCAAATGTGTTACATTAACAACTGACTCAAGACTATGCTCAATGTATGTCACCTACGTCATTATCTTCAGAAGGATCTGAAAGAACTTATTTAACTATTTTCAGCAAGACAGCTGTTGGATGGCCAGACTTTAAACTACTTAACTGTTGAAAGCACATGTTTTTGTGAGTGCTGAGGTGTCTACAGGCTACATTTCCAGGAGTCCATGAAAGCAAGATATTGTCACTAGGCTTGACACGAGCTACAGGAATATAAAGACATCGGAAAAAAAATAAAGTATGGAAACCAATTAAGTCTGCAGTTTGCTGAAATAAAACATCCTGACAAGTTTAAGTGCCACAGAGAACACTGAATGCTTCAGAAAGATAATCTCTACAAAAAAACTTTCCATCAAAGATGCACAGGGGGGGGGAAAAAAAAAAAAAAAGCCAAAAGGACATGATAAAGATGCTGTGGAATTTTTAAATGTTCTAAAAGATTTAATATATTGAGGTAAAGCAAAAATAAAGCCATTCTGGCCTTAATGCAAAAGGACTATACTACTAAAATACCACACAGTATAGTTTAAATTTAAATGAAACTTGGCCATCGTTCCAATGAAAGCCCTTAAGTAGTCTGTGCAGCACCACGGAGGATTTTATTATCAAATAAAAGAGTGATGGCAAGGTCATGAAATGAAGCTGCTATGATCAACTAAAATAGATACCAAGCTTTACATCATCTCTGATGATTAAAAGAGGAAAATTAAACTGTACATAAGCAAGTTGTAAGTGGACAATCACCTTACTCTACTCCAGTATTAAACCACTACCATCCGTTGGGGGAAAAATGCTGCAGTCCACTGAGGCAGTCACACATGTACTGCAGCAAGTATATTCTACTAGAAAAAGGGTTGGCTTGTTTATTCCTTGTATTTTTGTATACATTTAATTACAGAAGGATTTTTGTTTTTGAATTGACAAATACAAATCAAAGGCTGCTAACAAGAAACAATTAACAGCTTTTATCTGACAAAACTTACTATGTCCTTTTCCTTCCTTAACCCAAAAGCAGTCAAACAGACACACCTAACAGACTGCTCTTCAGCTCCCCGTTCCTCTAAAGATATTTAATACAGATTTACGTTCCAGGTGAGTTTCCTACGACAGGACTGCAAATTGCAAGCCAGTGATTCCCAGAATAAACAACGTTGACATTAGTGATAATCAGGGACTACTATTTTCTCTATTTTTTTTTTAACGTTGACATCAAATACGTTAACCCAAACAACTATGCTCAAATGTCATTCGACGAATGAATTACATGGAAGCATTACGAGGCAGTAATGCCCCAAGACAGACTAATCCCAGGGATCAGCAAGTTCAGTCTGACCCCCAGCGGTTCCAGAGGCTGAACTGGCCTCCAGCTATACTGTTACAAACTGATGTACATTGTGACTGTGATACAGGTCAGCAGACTGAAAAATTCATAGCAGAAGTCACAGCCTTTCTTAACTAAAACTTCCCTGTCCTAATTAATCTCCTAAAATATAAGGATGCTCTGCTCCTCGGCAGATGAGATGTCAAAGCATCTCAGTAAACAGGACTGTCAACAACAACAAAAGAAAACTAACAGTCACTAGCCTCCTTTCTGCTTTAGAAAACAGCAAATCTTAACTCCTCCCCTTAAAAAAATATGCAAGTTACTTTTTTCCATTCTTAGAACCAACTACAACAGAGCATATGAGGAACCTGAAAGGTCTTATTCCTTCTCAAAGATATTAGGGTTAGAAAACTTTTTTTAACCTCTTAAAAGAAGCTTTTAATTTCTTCAGACACATCACAAATAGAATTCACTTCAGTATACATTTGGTTGGCTATTACTTGCCAGAAAAATCTAAATGAAATTGAAAGTTCTGGTTAAACTGAGTATTTTCAGATTACCTGCTGTATGCAAGCTAATCTGCAGGTCAATTGGTTTTAGACACCATTTGAAACCATTCACTGCAGAAAAGACATAATTAAATACTGAAGATGCGGGTATAAAGGTATTTCTGTAGTTATATAAAGAGAAGCAATAGAAGGAACACGGAAAAAAGTGGTAAGAAAATGCTTTGGGGTGGAGGGAAACCTCAAGATGCAGGAAGGACACGTATCATGTTTAATGAAGATTTCTTGTTCATATTGGCATTGAGTTGAAATCTTTTGTGAATTCTGCTCTCCCATTCTCTCCATGCAGGGCTGTGAAGCTACGCTAGGACACCCAGGACACACAAAACCTGGGTCAAAGCCCCAGCTGAATCAGGAGGCAGATTTGCAAAGCCCCCTCTCTCAGCAGCACGCTCATTAGTGGGTATTTGGAGCAGATATGTGTTTCTTTAGAAGCCTCTTCCCCAGGGGATGCAGTTAACTGACTCTTTCAAATACAGATTATTTTTGGGGAAGGAAAAAAAAAAAAAAAGCTTTGCTAAACACCTCCCTTTACTCTCTTACAAGGGACCAATTTTCCTGCCACTGTTAACAATAGAGTATTTCCCAAATGGAAAAGTATGAGTTTATGGAAATTGGCTAAGAGGCTAAATTTTACAAAAGATGAAAAGATTTTAACTTAGCATGTTAACTTATCATTAAGAACAATAAAACACAGGTAAGAGAGCAGATGTGTGCTATAAAATGAATTTTGTGTGCATAATAGACAGACAGGAGCAGACAGTATACTAGTCAGAGTCCTCGCCACCACCTTGAACCATATAACCGGATACAATCACATCACCCTCAACCTAAACACAGCAAGTTTTATTATGCCCACAACATACAAACTATTCCACGTGTTTATGGAGAGTCTCAACTCAATTCCACCTCTTCCAGTGTCTTCTGCACCTCTAATTTCTGTTTGACATAACTAATATCAATTTAACTAGGTTAACTGTTACACTGCTAATATTCTTATCGTAGAGCTAGAAAGAAGGGCTTAATTCTCATCTTTGACTTTAGAGCATCAAATGAATGAGTTCCCACTGCTGATCTGACATTGCACTACTGCAGTTCTGATTTTATGCTAGAATATAAATTGTGTCATTCTAGAACTCTAGGAAATACAAGTGCTTATTTTAACTGGTAAGCAGCTGAAAGAAATCCAATGAAAAATCCTGTCTAGAGAAGGCAGGAGCTCCACCAAGAGGCAATTACACGTTTCCAGTAACTATTTAGGGAACTTAGGTACTTCAAAGTTGCTTTCTGAGGTGTCTCAATGCCCAGGCTGGGTACCAACGTTAGCTCCCATTTACTTTGGGCTTCTTGAAAAGCAAGTCCACATTTATTTATTTATTTTAATAGGAACTAGAGAGGATGTCTACTTTCTGCTCTGTTGAATTCAAGGACTGGTAAGGCCAATCTTCTCAGACGAAAACATTTTGTTACCATACTCTAGTCAGTAATAGTGTTGCCTGTGAGCTAATATTTCCTTGAACAAATGCTTACTTTTAATTACATTTGTCTTCCCAAAATTCACATTCAGTCATTAGTTGAGCCTGTTTGAACAGTCAGTGTATTGCCACTGTCTTATAGAACTTAGAGCACAAGTGGATCGAGTATCTGCCTAGTTAAGGGAAAGCTTGTCTGCTTGCAGAAGGGCATTGCAAGATTGCTGAAGCTCTATCTTAAAAGTCTTTAGAGTATACACTATTTTGATTCTACTTTTATCTATGAAACACGTCAATCTGTCAGTTCAAAATAGTATATTTACATAGTTAACTACCTGCGGGTCCGTGGAGGTTTTGGTGGTGGAGAATCCTGTTTCTCTGCTTCTGAAGAACTGACAACATCCTCTGTATTATTTTCATCCTGATTAAAACAAAAATATTTCATTCATAGCTGAAAAACATTTTTTCTTCATTCATAGCTGCAAAACTGACAGAAACATAATACTTAAACCCAAAAGTTCAAATATCAATAACAAGACTTGAAAATAATGCATGGTAATATTTATTTTTTAGCCAGCATAGACTGAGAGCACTTTCTAGTTTACATAGAGATTAAATTCTACACTAAATTCACAATAGCATTTTATCTTTTGTTCACGCAGTTTCAAATGTTTCTGACCAAGTTTTTGGTTTTGCATATACCCACTAACAAAAATCCTCAAAAGCTAATCTTTCAGGTTAGTTTCAGGAGCAACCTCCTTTACTCCCTCCACGTTATTTATACACAGAGTGCTTATTTTCTAGTCAGGCTGATTATTTTCACTTGTACAATCAGGCCATTTAACATCCAACTAATCTATACTGCAATAAGAAAATCAAATTTTCAGCAACTGTAAGTAGATGAGTGGATTAGGTTTAATGCACTGTTCTGAAAGTGTTTTAAACTGTTTCCCTTTCACGTACAATGAAGTCCAACACTCTGTAGAGCACAAAGATTTTTATTGTATTTCAGGAGGACCATAAGATACATATAAACAGATGATGCAAAAACCTAAGGCTGATGAACCACTTCCATGCATGTGCCACAGCTGCAGATTCAACAAAACCAGGGAGCTTAGTGTTGCCTTGAGTTTAATATGTATTTTGTTTTTGAAAAATTTTAGTCCTTTTTGCTTTTGAAAACTAATTCACACTTCTCAGAACATATGTAACGGATTTCCAAGCACAGTATCATTGACCTTATTACCTTTGAGCACCCCTGTTCAGGCTGGGTGAGAGACTGCCCTTGGATACAACACAAGCAAAAGGAAATTCCCTGTTACTTCCTGCTTTGCATCCAATGGTTACCTTTGAATTAGAGAGCACCCTTTGTAAGATTGCCAAGTACTTTTAGCTTTGAAAGATATAGAAAGATATGAACTTATTTGAACAGCTAATTACCCTCCCTTAAAAGTATACCTCATTAAATTTAGATTTAATTTCCTTTACATTCACTTAGAATTTCCATTTTAATTTTCATTTTCCACTGCTATCACTCTCTGTCTATTATCAAATTCTGCTCCCCAGAAAGCTAACTGAAGCCATGCTTTTCCAGTGAAGAATCCACTTATTGATCTTCACTCAGGCCCAAACCTCCATGAAGTCACTGCCCAATCCAGCATTCCAGAAACATTCCAGCAGAGGAAAATACTATCTTACTCCTACTCTCTCTTGCTCATTTATCAATGGGTTGTGTTGGCTTTTTCAGCCCAATTACATCAGGGTTTTCATTGTCCTGTGGATTTTCCATTGTAACCGTCAAGCTCTGGAGTGAGTGTGAGGCAGCAGATGCTGCTACACCTACGGATCCACCTACACTGCATGGCCACAAGGACAGCAGGTCACTGAGTTCCCATCGCACAAGATTCCTTGGAGTTGAGCCTGGAGAACTCACAAAACTATCCGAGCTATGAGTTCATAGAAAAGGGATGGAGATACTGGAGCAGCTGGCTCTGGTGGCTTGGACGTAGTTCTCATGCAAAGTCCCATTTCAGTCAGAATTTCCACCTGCCCTTTCTTTTCCCAGATAAGAACAGTCTAAGAATAGTCTCCAATGCCAAATGGTCCAGACCTTTCTGCATCCATATCACAATATTGCATTTCTAAGTCTTTATCTCAGAACTATTCATAACAATTTTAGGGTTCCAGGAGTAATGGATTAAATAAAAGAGCAGTAATAAAATAATAATAATAAATAATAAAAATAATAAAATAATAAAAATAATAAAAATCAGGTCAACTGATCCTGCTGTACCCAGCGGAACTGGAATTAGTATTCAGTGGATGGTTTTCGAAGTGAACTAGATTTAATAGATTTAGCTCTTTCTTTCACTTTAACTTCTTAATAAATAAAACTTCACGGTGATTGAAACAGCTGAAGAGATACTGACAAGCAGCATCAATGCCAAATTTGATGTGTAAGCTGAACACAGGATCAGGTTTATTTTATCTAGGCACAACAGTTTTGCTCAAGACCTTTGGCAGTTTTCCAGGACCAACTCAGAAATAGTAAGGGCCCCAAAACCCTTTCAAAACTAACTGCAAATTATTCCAGACGTACTAATTCAACAAGATTATCTTTCCATCCCCCTCAAATCCCCTCCATTCAAATACACACAGAAGCCATATGAAGTTTTCCTGCATTGCTTCACAGGTGACTTGGCCTTTAACGTGCTTGAAAACAGAGCGCTGTCCTTACTTGGGAACATGGCCATTTAGAAGGCTGATGACAAAAATGCTGAGGATCCCATGGTGCGACAGCAGCAACGTGGTTTTCCTACCTGCGTTGTGCAAACACGGTAACCTCCAAAGCAGTCCCATACCCCAGTGTTACTGCAGGGGGCCCAAAAGCACCGATTCTGCACCAAAAAGATCCCCCTAATCTTCTCTAACTAGAGCTGGCAGCTAATCTCCAAGACAAGGAAGGGCTGTTCTGCTGCAGCACCCCAAAGCTTCCCTGCAAACAGGTAGGGAGGAGATACTTGGTGTGAGGCCTCCAAAGAAGCAATTTCTCCCCCTTGTCACTAAGGTCCCTCCCCTCCATCTGAACAGGGCAGGATTCGGGTTCAGTTCTGCCATGACGGAGTCTTGAGCAGGACACATTTGGATTTCAGGACTGTGTGTTCTGCAAGGCACCAACAAGGGACAGGGTGGGCCCTTGGCTGCAGCCGCAGCGCGTCCTCAACACAGATCTGCAGCTGCATCTCCGTCCTCCCACACTTGTAGAGTGAACTATTTGTGCACAGATATTTCCCCCCGCCAAGATATGACTCTCCTAGCCAGGGAGAAAAAAAACTACTAAAAAGAAGTTAAGATATGTCAAAGTCATCTAAGCTCTGCACATACACACACAGTAAATAGCTTAGTTTCTAGCTGAAACAGGCAAAAGTAACTCAAGAGCCAAAGTACTCTGCTGTTTTTGCTACTAGTAATGAAAGATATGGATGCACCTTGCAAAAAGTGTCCAGGCTCAGGTATCTGAAGCAAATATGCAAAAACAGCTTACAAAAATTAATTTCTTAAAGAAACGTGTTTGGGTGGCCCAAACTGCTTTACACAGCAGTGTAAAGGCAGCCACTGTGAGATGCTACAAAAAATCAGTGTCAGCGCTTAAAAAATACACCTCACAAATAGCCCTTCACTTAACCTAGTCAAAGTATTTACAGCTCTACGATGACACAACTGTTGTGCTTAACAAGTTAGTTACTGCTGTTCTGCAATGCAATACTTCCCATATTCAGTATTGGATTCACAAAATAGTACCTTTACCCCAGAAGATCGGTCAATGGTTACTTGTACTTTATACAGTGGGAGCACTTCAGGCCAGCTACACATTCAAACGCTTTTGTTTCCACACAAAGTTAAATAGGGATCCATTTACTCTGTTCTGGGCACTACTGACACCAAAAAGACCTCACTGATACAACCAGTTCAAGTAACTGACGTTGCTGTGGAGACATTTGCTTTTAGACTACCTACACCCCAGTGAAGTGAAGCATATTTACTAACAAAGCTCTACGGGCCTTAGCCAGATGCATTAACCCAGACAGGAAGGAAAACAGTTCCATGCAACAGCCCCAGGCAAACTTCAACTGCTGCAGCAGCCTAGCGTGCTGCGGCACTGCACTTCTCCTCAGTTGGTAGCTCAAGGAAAGCTGCTTGCTGAAGTCTTGAAGCAAATCCACTATACCTGCCTAGTTCTGAATCACGGAAGGTAACAAACACCCAATATTTTGAGCTGCTTGATTAACACCAGCTTGCTGATTTAGCTTTCTGTCAGGTACGGAAATGTGTGAATGCATAAGCATGCAGAATTACTAGCATGCAGAATTACTAGCATGCAGAATTACTAGCATGCAGTGGGAGAGAGGAAGCTCAGCCGTAAGTGTAAGGTCTCTCTCAGAGATGACCTCATCTGCTGAGAAGAACAGATGGCAGAATTAAGAAAAAACCCTCCCAGTCTTCCTAATCATAGCTTCCTGGCATCACTCAGCACTGTTGCTTCCCTAGACAGATGTTGTATTGTAGGGCAGAATACGATCTTGGAGTGAAAAGCAACAGCTAAAAACCAAACGCCCAACACACACACACACACAGCCCGAAAGGCAAGTATGTACAGTCCACAAGGCTATCATGTAAAATGGATATTGACAAGTATTCTTAAACGCATAGTAGATTAGTGTATTTATTTTTAACTTGAATCAATTTTCTTCCCCCCCCCCACCCCTCACATACAGAACATCCAGTCACATGGAATTTAATCCAACTGCTAAATTATCCCAGACAGACAGGGTTCATTTCACATCACAGAAATACCTCCCAAACAGCTCATAAAAAATTCTACTGCTACGAGTGTGACTAATACCTCGTCAGATGACCAGTGTTTATGAGCTCACATCTATTTCATAGCACTCGAACACAAAACCAAGACAGACTTGTTTTGGTAATTTACGATTTATGCATTCAGTATGATTTTATACCCATTTATACTTGTAAACATCCATAATAAAAAGTACAACTGCACTGCGACAGTATACAACTGCCTCGCTATATCATCTCAGCACATTTAGATTACCTACAAGGCTCTGAATCCTCAGAGTAACTCTTGTAAGAATTTACAATTCAAATGGAATCTATTTGAAATAGCGCACATGTTTTTTGTTGACATTTTACAGTATTGTTTCCAGCATGGCAGAGCTGGCAAGCTCACAGAAACACATGGTTGGGATTGTGTCTCAGCTACTTCCTTGTGAATTCTGCTGCTCGGTGCCAATCAGATTAACTTCTTCCTGTGATGCTACTGGCAAAGACTGTTTGTAAAACTTGAGTAACTTAAACCTACCAGGCAATTGAAACAGCAAAAGCAAGTGGACAGTAAAACCACTAAACCAACCGTATGAAGCACTATCAGTGTAAAATAATGAAGAGTTTGTTTGTTTTTAAATCTTTGTAGCACGACTGTCTGTATAACTACCAATATTATGCCCTGGGCAGACATATTCCTCTCTTTGGAACCGTTTTCATGGCACAATTGCAACCCTGGAGCACAGAGGGCCGCGCAGCTGCCACAGCTTCCGAAAGCGTGAGGCGAGGACATGGGCTCATACCAAAGGCATTCTATAATACACTGGAAACAGTTTTTGTCTCTCTTAAAAAGAGTTGTCTGAAGACCTCACCCTTTACATGATCATATTATTTATCCGTCAGATGGCTACTTGTTTTCCTGGCTGAAATCTGAGCAGCAGAATGATCCGGACAATCCCTGGCTGCTGCTCTCAGTGTGACTCACACTAGCTACCACACAACTCTGAAGGAAATAAAGGAATTTAATCAAAATGTTCAAGCACTGATATTTTAAATCCATATGAGCTACTTCTGTACACTTCTGCATGTGACCACTGCACGTGGACTTGGACAACTACAGTGAAAAAGCAGCTAGAGCTTCCCCAGGGCTGTAGAGCAAAGCAACCATCGACAGCAGAGCACTGGGAGCAGAGCAGCTTTGCTCTCCCTGAACAACTATATCTACGCAGTTATGCTATGCCACCACTCTCAACTGTGGTGGAGTTTTGTTTGACACTTGTTAATATTAAGCATCATTTCAGTACAGTCAAAAACAAGTCAAACCTAATCAAGGCCAGAAGAGAAGATACATTCCAATTATGAGAAAACTTGCCACAGGGATGCAAATTTCCTACCCCTAGTACATGGTTAGAATAGGTTATTTTGAGATAACACTTTTATTTCTGTAAATCCACCTAATATTTCTTGACCCCTCTACACCCCCCCCATCACAATCAGGGAAGTGGCTTCCTACAGGATCACTACTAGAGACTGAAGGTTCACCACTGGTAGACCGAGTAAGCTTAGAAGCAGACTAAACAGCTATAACTTAATGAAACATCTCTTTCAAGTTCTCTAACAAAACTGTTTCTCACTTTGAAACTTCTCTGCACCAAAACTTATATTTCATGTTAAACATTCTGGGACATACCTCCTAGTTTAAAAAAGTACTAGGGCAATTCTGGCAATCACCTGACAAGTAAGCTTTTTCTACAGTAACCTAACAGGTGTTCTATATGGCACATATAATATGTAATGCTCTATTAATATTATATTAGTATGCATCCAATGTTGTATGCTATATGCATACACAGTGCCCTCAAAGGAAAAGAAAGCTTTGCAGAATAGCATAAAGCTCCATCTCAAGTGAGCCTGAAAAATTTTAGAATCCATTTGAAGCTACAGGAGATCCACAAGTGGTACTGGGAGGCAGGAGACGACCTCGTGCAACTTAAGCAAAGGCTAAGTTACAGTGGTTAATTCCCTGGAGGCAAAATCCCTAATAAATGACTTAGGCACAGGCATTCTTATGTGTCATTTTTCTCAGTCCCCCTGAAGCAGGGCATGAACTACAGCATGAAGACGCATCACTTGCCAACGCAGGGCAGGCTGCACCTGGTCGGCCCAAAAAAGTCCTCTTAGCGCCATTTCCAGCAGGACCCAAAATGAAGTGCAGAGGGCAGAATACCAGGACCAAGTAAGCATGCAGCAATCCCTCCCTGGAATGTTCTCCAAGAGTCTGCAGCTCTAGAACATCATAGGAAATTTAGGCCTCTAAATAAGCTCACAGAAGATGCCTGCCCAGTGAGGATCTATTCACCTCACAACCACGGGCTTTCAGCATTCAGTGGTAAGGAACAATTCACCTTGTGTGGAGAAAACTTTTTCACTGAATCTACCAGGTCTCACTGGCAGCTTTTTGAAGAGGTTAGCAGACATCAGCTACTCACTGTTACTTATTTTATTAACCCCTCTCTATCTAGGCACTCCTTTTCCAGGTAAAGTCCTACTCAGTCTGGCTGTTCCCTAGATCAGGACCTTTGATCCTCCCCAAAACTTTTAATGCTTTAGTTCTGCAATGATCTTCCAGGACAAACAGACCACATCTGCTGACAGCATTCAAGTTGCAAGTGGGCACAGCATACATACTGCTTTCAGCTCTCCATTTCCAAATAATTGCCAAAATTGAATTTACTTTGATTATTAAATATTGAGATGACATTTTCATTGATTAGAACCAAGATAATTACCAAACAAAATGCAAAACTCAATTGATCACTGACTGGAGTGTTGAATTTGCTCTTTATCATCTCAGCAGGTTTAGATAAAATTTTTATTTCCTTTTTATTTCCTTTATTTTCTTTTTGGAGAAGAAAGGCTAGTCAAAGAAATAAATTGATAAGCTGTGAAAGCATCAACTTGTTGTCTCCTCATCGAGCTAAGTGCACATTCCTCAATACTTCTTGGTGGTTTGTTTGTTGTTTTGTTTTTTTTGAGTTGAGGTCCTGCAATTTATCCATGCTAGATGTTACTTTATTGCTTCCACCACTGCAATTGCATTAGGGATAAGTGGTAAATATTTCCTTAATTATCTGACTCAGCTTTTCCAACCAAGTCTTCAGCATACACTCAGTACAAGCCAATTGGTCCCAAGCGGGAAAACAAACAAAAAACACACATAATCTAAATAATTCTGCATCTTCCTTAACACCACAGAACACTTAAAAAACAGACTTAACTTAACAACAGAAACTGAATCAGAAGCTGTTTCAAAAGACTGAATTGTTTACGTGAATAACAAACTTACCACTCCATCTGCAATTGTCCAGTCTGCACTACTTTCATATTTTTGCAGTTGTTTTTCAAATAGTTGTGCTATGGCTCGATGAACAAGTTCATACTGCTCCTATAAAAGGTGACCAGATAAAAATTAGTGCATGTGGGTCTTTAAAAAGAATGATGGTGTATTAGTTATCATATAGCGAGATCTTCTGTAGAGCAAACAATTACCTTTGTCTGCACTGCAGAATGCCTTTGTGTCCTCATTTCTTGTATTAAATTAAATACATTGAATTCTTCAGGTATTTTCTGGAATATACAAGTCAATTACATTGTCTTAAATGTTTGTCAGAGCAGCAATACACTAAGTGCCAAACATGCAAAACTGTGTTGAACTTTTCTAGGTAGAGCTGATCCATTCTTTCCCACCCAAATCTACTCAGATTTGTTTTTAAGAACAAATCTCTTCCTGAATGGTTTTAAATTGACACTTGTCAAAAGAATTTTGGAATGTGTTAGATATTTCACTATTTTAAAGCATTTGAAAGTATTCTTAAGCATTGTTACGAAATGATAGAATGCCACAAATTTGTTCTTTTAAGATTCCTTACCCCAGCTTTAAGCAAATTCCATGTATAATCTATGGCACAGATGGCTCCTGTTCTTCCACACCCTGCACTATGAATATAAACAGTTAGGTGGTTAGAATTATTTAAAATGGTTAAAATTACACTATTAAGTCTCACATCTCTGGAGTCCATGTGAAAATAAAAAGTCACTTCAGTTAAAATCTCTCAACTATCATTTTCATCTGGCTCAGTCTGACACTATAATATGAAATGTTAAGAATTTAGCAGGGTAAAATGAAGTGGGTTAAGATTTTAAATGCAGAGCTCAACAGAATTGCAATCATAGAAATGTTTCTGTCTTTTGACATTTTTATTGTCTCTTTCCTCACACTGTTACTAGTCACTACTGCTTCAATAGAAGGGATTTTGCCCAAGATTAATGATAAACATGTTCATTTAGGAGAATAAGATCTGATTCAGGATACCTGATTCAGATTTATAAGCCACGCATATTCATTACATTGTAATTATACTGTTGTGGTATAAACGACTTCTACAATTTTATTGTCATTCAAGAGATGAACGAGATGACAGAGGTAGCTTTCTGTGCTAAATAAATTTCTTGTGTGTTTAGACTTCAATAATCAAATATACTTGTATCTATGGATATCTTTGCTAATCAAAACCATTACAGTGAAGCTTGGTGTTAATGAAGTCACAGCTACACTCAGTTCTCTCGTGCAAAAAGAAATAACTGCAATTTCTATCTGAATGAAGACAAAAAGCAACAAAAAATAGCCTTATAACTGTCAAATAACCTCTGAGCAAAGTTTTGAGGCAGCTATGAATTAGTTTTCACTGCACAGTGTTAACAGACATATACAATTTGCCCTGTGTTGAATACACAAAGGTAAAGGCAATGGAGTTTTGAAGCTAGTTTCGTTGCCTGGGTCCAGGAAGGAGCTGCAGCCTCCTGACTGAGCTGAAGCAAGTAGTAAGTAGTGCTGCACTTGGTGCTGTATTCTCTTACTTGGGAAAGGATTCCTCGCTAATTCGATGATCTTCAAAAAGTCTGACTGATCCTAATACAGATTTAGATATTCATCTTTAACAGCAAAGCTGTTTCCTTTTCAAAAAGGTAACTATTTTCCTGGTACTATACTCTATCTTCAACTGAAGTAGCAGGGAAATTCCACTATGGCAGTTTTTCAGGCAATGAGCAATGCACAGCTGAGCCAAATTTAGACATGAGGAAATGTTCCTTTGTAGAAAATAACTGCCATTTAAAACTGAGCTAGTGTATCTTGCACCAAACACCTAAACTTGAAAAATAAATATATTTGATACCTGCAGTGTATACAAATTGGGACATCTTCATGTTCCTGATATTCTCGCATCAAGCTGATCATGTCCAGAATAGAATCAAAAGATGAAGGGACGTCATGGTCAGGCCAGTTAACATAATGGAACTGATAGACACTACGAGTCTCCTGAGGGTGAGGGGAAAGAGGTGTTAATGATAATACATATTTGTACTCTGCAAATTCATTTTTTGCATAACGACTTCGAAAGATCAAGGATATTTACTGTACGAAAATGTTGTTTCTCAAGGGATACAAGCTGTAACGTTTTTGTACAGTAAAGAGGGAAACTTGGCAGTGGTATTTTAAGCACTGCTAATGTTTAAGCAGTATGAGATATTTTACAGAATGAGTGAAAAACAGCTCACCAGTTAAGGGACCCACAGTGTTGCACTATTTAAAGAGAGTCTCAAAATAAATCAGTTAACTAAAAGATGTCCTTACAGCTTTAAACTGGAAAAAGGGGATGGAAAGGGAGAAGACTACCATGAAAGGTTCATTTTCCAATCTCATACAAGCAATTTATATTAGAAAAAAATAATTTTTTGATAGATTTGTCAGATTACAAAATAAATTTGAAAAAGGAAGGGACATAAAAAAAAATGACATATCCAAATTTGGACTCCATCTGCAACCAAATTAGGTACAAGTTTATTATAGTTACTCTATGTTGCACAAACAGTAAAAAAAAGGCAAAAAACCTGCAGACTTGAATTAGCTATTGAACTACTTGAATAAGAATGAATTAAATTGTCTTTATCATCGTTATCCAAACTATCCATAGTAAAACTAGCTTTAGACTTTACATTTCCAGGCTGCTGTCACACTTCTTGATTCTAGTAAACTTTCAAAGGTTTCTGATCCTAAAAGGTACCAAGTTTCTGGACCTAGGCTACCTTCTGTCTCGTTATTAGAGAACCAGACTTTTAGCATAGGAATACAGATCAATCTTCAAACTGAAACCAGTAATTCTGAAGCTCTGCTCAGATGTACAGAATACCATAGCTAGTAAAAATAGAAGAGAAAATCCAGCCTAAGAAATTAAACTTACAGAAATCCAACTGATTACGTAAATCCAACAGCATGCAGAAAAGTTACAACTGTCTATAAGTTCCACACAAAAATCTTCACTTAATCATATTTTAAAAGAATAAAATGGTGATTTTTTCCACGTGTGGAACAGAAATGATTTCTACATTAATATTTTTCATTCTGAAATTCATTTTCATTCTGAGGGAGGATTTACTCCCTCAGCCTCTCGGCAACGCACTGCTTAATGCAACCCCTTGGCCTCCCAGAACACAAGGGCTCATTGCTGGCTCATGTTGGAGCTTATTCTACTTGTATTTGTCAATATGAGTGTATGACTGGGCAAAGGAACATCCTTCGACGTTATAAATGTCTTGTCAATGATGACTGTCCATGGGGTGAGCTGTAACAAGCATGCATATTTTACTCAAAAGGATGCTCACTGAAAGAAACAGTAGTTTTGACAAGTTTCATTCCATTTGTGGTCATAGTTTCAGCTGATATAAACAGTAAAATTTGATCCTCAGAGAAGTTTTCACAGTTGTTAATGCTCTCTATTAAAACCAGAGCTTCAGCTTAGAAAACAGCTTCAGCTACCTTCAGCAAGGATACAAATAAGAACAAACAAAATTAGTTTCATATTTCTGCTTCTTATGCAGTAAAGTTACTTCAACGTCACCTCTAAGCTTGCTGATTTACAAATAGCATGAGCCTCTAAACACCGGGCAAGGAACTTTGTACAAGTCCCCACAGTTACACACTCCCTTAGGTAATTTCAGCAAGTGTTAAGCTGACGTTGAGACCAGGAATTCCCACATACTTACATTTTGAAATTCAAGTAATAATGTTCTAATGAAGTAGTCTGTTCTTTCTTGCTCAGCTTCCTAAGTTAGAGAAAAAAAAATGCATGAGAAAAGATGAATATGCCGCACATGGGATACAAGTGAAGCTCCAGATTTACACTCCAGTCCTTTTTCTTGAAGTTTTTATTTTTATATGTATGATTTGCCCAAAAGGTAGGCAACCAAAATGTTAATTTCAAAAAAAGCAATGATTATCTTCTGCACACAATATACCCATGAAACACTTTTTACTTCTACTTAAAACAAAAATGTGGGTTCTCAACACACTAAGTCTCTACCATGTTCATGAAACTGTTAATACAACTTTATAATAGCATTTCAAAATACTTTTCTTTCATCATTTCTCCATATATTAATGTCTTTTAGGTATTCTTCTAAAGCCATCCCTCTATGACACTTCTGCTGTATGAACTTCAGTTTCTTTTCTCCTACCACTCTCAACTCTTGTGATATCCCCTTTTCATTTTTCTCTTTGATTAAAAAAAGCAAGGATACATCTGAACAGACCATTGGAATTATTTGTTTGTGGCCAAAAACCCCAACTTTGAGGCTCTCAGAATTTTCTGATCTACTTTTGGAACAGCAGGAAAGGTTTTTACTGCAGACACAAAGCAACATTTCTGTATTTAAAACGTCATTAATTTCACAATTTGCAGATGACTTAAGTATTATAGCTTTCCACACTGAATTTAAGAGATCATATGCAGGTCTCAACAGGCTCCTTTCTTCCACGGGGAACTTATTTTAAATAAAAAAAAACACAATCACTTATGACACGTTGTATGTTTTAAGTAGATTATTGCATAGCTAGCAGCAACATAGCCCACACACTATTGGAGTTGAGAATAAGTCAACTTCAATGTACATTCAATCCCTGCTCTCAAATACTGCTGCAGTATTTGCCAACTATGAGGCCATCATCTGCTAGGTACAAGGCAAAAGAAAAAAAAAAGTCAATTTTCAAATTATTTCTAATGGTAGAAAAGAGGGCTGAACCTTGTAAATGCATCCTTTCTTGACAAGGTGTATTTGAATTGTACTGAATCTTATTGCACTGGCTTCCTAGGATTAAGGACAGCTTGGCGAGCTGGCCTGCCAGCCCTTTCTGAACACACTAAAGCATTTCCTCCAAAAATGAGCAGCAGCTCCTGTTCAAACCTACATGTTTTTGAGGTAAGGAGAAAATGAGAGTTTCGAGATTCATTCAGGGGTTTTCAGTTCCACTGCTTTGAAATAAATGGACAACTAAAACTAATCATGAGCTCAAGTGTTAAAATTTCACAGCAAGATCATTTATACTGATTAGATGGTTTTACTGGACATTTCAGCATCAGGTTTCACTCCTATCATAAGAGCATTTAACAGCCCTGTCAGAAAACGCCCCATAATGAGTTGGTACTGGAAACTACTAAAAAACAAATCCAAACCATTTTTGTTTTATTTTTTTTTTTTTTTTTTCCTGTGAAAGTTATCACCCACTTTATGGAAGGGACATCATCTATGGGACACTAACAGCAACACACAAGAGAAAATCCTTCCTCCCAGGTATGCAATATCACACAGTAACAAGCCCACAAGATATGTTAACAAAGTATATTACAATTCACTACTGATTCTCTGGGGACTGAAATGCCATTAAGAAGCACTGAAATGGCCACAGAGTGTGAGGGCTGTTCTACTGACCTGGCAGGATAGGAGTAACTGCTAATTGCTAAGGGAGGCTATGAAGACCCTTTGTTTAAGTGAGCCTCAGATTAAGAGCAGCCCATGATAAATTGATACCTTTTCAAATTTCTGCAGTGGTTATGACCAGTGAGCAACTTCTGACCTGCTAACTTGCTAGTCATGTTGGCTGAAAAGCTAATTCTACAACAGTAACATTGCCCACAAAGTGATTAAAAACTGCAATAGCCTCTTGAAAAAGAAAACTTGACCATCAACCTTTGAAGAAACCAATGAGCATAGAAGTGGGAGTCATCCCACAGCATCAGACACACCTTACAGCCCAGCAGCATCCTCGCCGAGTTGTCCTACACATTACGACAAAATGTCTCAAAAGCCTTTTGGAAACTAAACCCTTACGGCATAACAGAAAAATTCATCTTGTGCATCAAGTAAGCAACAAAGGATGGGAATAAGTGGACAGTTTTCACACTGGCCATCCTATAGACAATCTATTTTCTATCCTCTTTCCAAGACATATGTCTATCAGAGAACCATGTGCACAATGTATAAAGGCACTTTAACGTGAGCCCAAGAAACACCACGTGAATTCCTTCCTGTGCCCATGGCTCAGATCTCCTTCAAGTACTTGCAATGGAGGCAGGCATATTTCTCCATCCTTCTGGAATCATCTTTTAGTGTGGCTAAGCAGTTGCCACAGGAAATTCTCCAGGAAAAGCTTCATACCGCATGATGATCTGCTAGTCATTATTGTTTTGCTTCAGAAGTGTTTTCAAATAAACATGAAGATGGCATAAACAGAAATAATTTTAAAATATTTAGAAGTCTAATTTCTGATTTCTCTGCTTGTGTTGCTTATTTTTATTCCATGTAGCTTAAGGAAAATCTGCTGTTTGTGTGTCACTTATTTGCATGCCTAGAACATATAAGGCACAGCAAAACACAGCAATAACTGCATTAATATTATGTAAATTTTGGAATATGGTACCAACATTAAAAATTACATTATGGAAATGAAGAAGTTACATATAGGAAGATACAAAATCAAAGCACGTAGTTTTCCTACCATTTTTAAAGGGACAGAGCATTCAAAAACACTTAGGTTAGACCCAGACATTATTTTCCTTAAAGAGTTGGTATGTAAAACTTGGTACAGAAGAACTAAAAGAAACCATTTGTTTTGTACTACAAGGTCTGATATGAAGTGAACAGCTATTTTAGGTTACAATAGCATTAAAAATTTTGAGTTCATTATAGCTTTACTTACACAAGAAACACGAAATGGTCCAAAAGTTACAGTTGCTTCTCCATACAAAGGCCAATAACGTTCACATTTTTTCTGTTAAAGCAAAGAATCTTAGTTTAATCCATATTGCAAGATAGTTAAAAACAGAACAGAATTGCTGATAATCTCCGATTCCTTATTCCTTCCCTTCATTTGGTGTTCTTCCTTAACATCTGGCCATAAATTTTTAACTTAAAGCTGAAGCTCTTCCAAGACAGCAACATGTCTTTTTTTTGAGCATCCAAAAGAAGGGGTGAAAAAACAGAACCAGAAGAGGAACAATCACATCCAAAAGTGTCTTTTAAAATTAGGATGTGAACTCTACAACTGCCTCATGTATGTGCAAGCATACATCATATGTAGGGAAGGCACATGAGCTAATTCAGTTTCTGTGCAAGCTCAGAGGCAATAATTCTGGACTGCATTTATTCCTTCCTACAGTCTTAAGAATTTGAGAGACAGATTTTTAAAGTTAGATTTTTTTCTTTCCCCAGTTGCAATTAACAGAAAATTTTGAAGGACTAGGGATTTTCATAATCAAACATAGCTGGCTGAATTGAATAATTTCAGTGGCATGACCAGTAGCAGGTTGTTAGGACAGTTGTGTCTACAAAGGTAGGAGCATATCCCACTAAAAAGACTGACTTCTACACAATAATGTAAATATTATTACCAGAAGACAGAATCAAAAATCACCTACTTTCATTATTTGCTATGCCTACAAATATAGAGAGGAAATATTCGATCAAAAGTTTTTTTTTTTTTTTTTTTTTTTTTTTAAGTTATGGATATGGTATATGAGCCTTCAAAGGTATTAACATATTTCCTAGGTGGGCAACAATATTTTACTTTTGTATTTAGCATACATACCCTTCCCATTTCAAACTCTCGACAGGCCATTACTATTATCTGAAAAGGAAGATAATAGAAGTTAGCCAAATTTAGATCAAGTAAATTCACATAGCAAAACCCCAAGCAATCACTGACATTCCCCAACTGGCTGCTTCAGAAGAGATCTATAATAATTTTCCTTTCTGCAGATACACATTCTTTTAATTATAAAATAGCATTCAAGTTGTATCCTGCAGAAAAGAATCCATAACAGAAGTGCACTAAAGAATCCATAATAGAAAATCTAATGGACTTTGAGTTTACTGCCATCCTCTAGGGACGTCTCGTTCATTTCATAATTTTAAGTTGACTGTACAGTCTTACACTTAACCAGAGAAATATGTATCCATTCACTGACTGTAAGAAAATAGAGCTATATCTGGCAAACTGCTCAAAAACGGTGTGAAAATCTATTTTATAAATCTATTTTATAGATGAGAACTGAATGGCTTTTAAGTGAGGTTTTCAGGATTATTGACCTAAACAGCACATCAAAAACATGCTGAAAGTATAAACTATTTGTTTCAATAATAAGCAACCACAGCTTAAGTGTCTGGTAAAACAGAAAACAAAACTATTTTCAGAAACAAAAATTTGCTGCACACATTCAATTTTAATAGCATGTATGTGTTAGCTCCTGACAATAAGTGTTCCAATGGATGCAGAACATAGAAACCAATCCTTGATCCAAAATTAACATATGTAGAAAGGAAGCCTTATTTTGTTTCAAATGCTTTTTCCATCTGATCTGGTCAATCAGCATTAAGTTAGAGCCGCAAGGTCTTCTACAGGAGAGGCTTGAATCAAGTACTGACCTGTTCATAACAGCACATGATTATTTTGCTGGTAGTTACTAAACTGAACATATAACATTAATGATATTCAGAATATTTAGGTCATGAAATCAAGCATTGGGAATAGCTTCTGCTAAAAATGGTAAGACTAAATCCCTGACAGCATTTGTGATATCAAGAGCCAGCTCAGATTCAAGATGCACAATCACTTTTCCATGAAATCCGGTAATACCTGAGTCTGGTGGCCGGGATGTTTAAGTGGGTACTTACAGCAACGTTGTACTCCCATATCATCCGCCAGAAGTCTATTACTGTATTTGCTAGTGGCCCCTGGGTAGCAACATATGCTTTTGGCCCATGTACTCCCTAGGATTGCAGAGAGGAACAGGTAATATTTATAAAGAAAATTTAATTGTATTGAATAAAAGCCTTTAGGTTATAACCAAGTAAAATTAGAATATCAATCTTTCAATCTGGCAAAAAGGTTGAAGATGAAATATGAATCCCATTTAAGTTAATGGAAATTTCAAGTGCTTCCAAGATTATAGCAGCTACCTTGCCTCAAGAGACTAACAGAAAATATTAAGTTAATATTTTCCATACGCTCCAATTCCAAAGATTCTCTTCAAGTATGCACTATTTTTTTTTCTTATTACCCAAATGTCTAATGACCAGAATTTGGAAGTACACTTCTAGGCAAATCTTTTGGTTAAAAAGCACCCCCATGAACAAAATTAAGTCCCACCTCCCAAGTAGTACCACGTTTTTAAAAATCCACTGTTCTTAAATTCATATTTTACATAAAACTTGTAAAAAAGTTCATTGTAAAAAAAATGTTCATTTATTTTAAATATTTGCCTTGAAAAGCTGAATATATATACTAAGAAATGAGATTTACAGGAGCACTTTTTCCTTAATAAGTATCAGTGCTAGAAGAAGTCTCAAAATAAAACTACAGGGGAATTTCAGGAAAATCAGAGAATTCACTCTTTGAAGATGTATACACAGGAGTATAACAGTCTTTTAGCCAAACTCTGAGGTGGTTATAAGATACAATTCAATCTTTCCCATGAACAGTCAGAAATGCAAATTAACATATATGCTATATATAATTTGCCAAACACTTCATTTATGATTGCTAAAAACAGTTCTTCTAAAATCTGTTATTTTTTACAGTAGGTTTCAGCAAAATCATATCTGAATTTTGCAACTGTATAAAGTTCCAATTTCACTGTCTGCCAATTGGAATGAAATATTTTATAATACACAGAATGAAATTAGAATTTAAAGACCTCAATACACACACTGTCACTTATGAAAATATATTCGAATTGTACTAAAAGAAAGTCTCCCCTCACAGCTCCACATTCTTATCTCAGACTACAATATTAAAACTTCACCACCCTGGAATAAAAGCTTAAAAGTGGAATTTTAACATAACTAGATTTTAATACACACCTTAATAAAGTTTGCATTGATGTAATCTGAATCTTGGGGAGGAGTCTTTAAAGTTAGTTTAACCCGGCTGTGATCAACTGAAAAATAAAACACATTTTTTTAAAAAAAAGGGGAATTACAAGATGCATTAACACCTATATATAACAATAAAATATATTAATAGGACAAACTAATCCTTAAGGAAAATGGTTCCCTGAAGATAGAAACAAGTCAGTTAAAGAAATAAATTGTGGGTAAGCCAGCCGAGGTGGTAACCAGCAGAACTGCTCCCGCCACTATGCGCTTCCGATGCTCCCAAGCTGCCAGAGAAGCAGGCACTAGAATTTCAAGAGTGATTCAAGACAAAGAAGAAAATTCAATTGATCAAAGTAAAACTATAGTTACACAATATTAGCAGAGGTCATGATAGTCAGTATGAGAATATTTATTAAGTCCATGCCAAGAAAGTAGAAGAAAAAGAGATATTCCTATAAAAACAGCAGATCTTTGGAGACCAAAGCCCTCAGCAGTCTTTTAAAAATATCTTTTATTTTTTGTTGACAGAAGAAGCTAAACAGCTTGGAATCCTTTTCTGTAGTGAAAATTAGCATATCTTCATAACAGTGGCAAATGGACAGTTCTCAGAGGGAGAGCTAGTGGTTGGCACCTCATTTTGATACCAACATTTCCTAGCTAGCACGAAAAAAGAAAAAAAAGAAGCATTCAAGCTCGGTGATAAAGTCTGCTTTAGTTAATTTAGTATTAGGAAAAAAAATGGAAATTAAGACCAAACAAAGGTATCTGTGGAAATCAAGCAATTTCTGTTGCTTTCTGTTTCTAAGGTCAATTCCCCAACCACACAGCAGCTGCTGAAAATTTCACTCGGATTTCAATTAAAGAATAAGCACAAAGAGCAAGTGTAATCAAAGCGAGGTTGGGTGGGGGCATTTTTGGCAAGAGCAGGGAACCATGCGCACAGGAAGCTGCACGCTAAGAGTTATTCCCACACCAAAAGCTCTTCCAAAAAGCATTGAGAGCTGCTTCAAAATAGATGACACTTTTTGCCAGAGTTCCAGCACAAAAAACAGTGCGTGTTACCATGTAGCACTTACTAAAAATGCACAGGAAGGTAAGAAAGCTCACAAAATGTAACAATCTTTCAAAAGAAAACTTACTTTTCAATAACAGCCCGGAGAAACTCTTGAGTATATTACAATGTGATATGTATTATCAAGTGCATAACATAAAAGCATGACTCTCTGCAAGTATGCGCTGAAGAATAAATACGCTCCTTTCCTTCTAAGTGTGGCAGCAAATGCTATGGCCACCTGATTAAATATTCTTGAGGCCGTGGTTTGAAGGTAAAATTTATTGCTGGAAGTGCTGCTCCAAGCTCTGATAAACAGTAGAAATATCAGTACCAGAGAAAAGAGAGGTTGCAGTCCTACAATAATCTAGAAGACACAGTAATTCATCCCAGTTGACTAGCAGAAAGCCTCTTGAAAATAAAAGCTTTCTGGATATCCAAGACCATTCTTAACTTCTAACAACAAACCTAAAGCTGCTTAAAGCAAACTATCTTTAAACCATGTCTCTAATAAAATTTGCAAGAGTTCAGAGCACTTGCCTTTCAAGTTACAATCTTCTATAAAGTGGTTTCTCAAGTTGCTCACAAATTTGCCTTTGAGTATAAAACAAAAAGGCGAATTCACAATACATTAAGCATAATAAATTATTCTTTATTCTCTACTAACACACAAATCAGACTTACATGGTAGTATGTCCTTATATCTATTCTTTTTAACATTTTCTTCTTTTTCTCCGGTGGCTGTTGGGTAGATCTTCTCTGTTCTGTATTTGGTCGACAATCTTCTTAACCTCTGAAATAAGAGATCTGTGTTATGGCTTCAAGTCTCAAGATAACAGAAATATCATTATTTACTACATCATTGATAACAGAGGCAAAAAAAAAAGGCTGCTCTTCTCTGCTTTTTCAATATTCACAAACATAATGATTTTTAAACCCTTATTTGACACATTCAGATCTTCACCATGTGGAGACTGGTTCTACACAACATGATATAAGAAACCTTTGGAAAAACACTGTAGGAGCAGGATGGAATTCTGCTGTGTTTTATTAAGCAAGTACACTGCCTATTGAGGAGCAATGACTAAGTTATGAATACCTGCGAGAAACAGAAAAGTCTGTTATCCCCTGAATACGGGTAAGAGCAGCACAGACCAGGCTGGCTCGGGAAGAGTTGCTCTCAGCCAGTGTTTTGCTTTAAAGCTCATGGCTTTTAACAAATTCACATGCAAGCAGAATCGACAGGCATTGGTTCCTAACACCCGACTTCTGCTGCCCTTCGGTCTCACGCGGAGCCTTCGGGTCACCCTATGCACACGGGGTATCCCCAGCTCGCGCAGGAGACGGGAATTCTGCTGAATTCCCAGCAGAGCACTTCTCCCAGCCCATTTATTTCAAATCCTGGATGCACAGCAGCCAAAGCCAATAAAAATGAAATCCAGCCCTTCCCTCCTGGCAATCTAGAAAATACCAAGAGCAACGCAGCTCTTCTTTTAAATCCTACCCATACTAGACATTTGTAATATTAAAATGAAGGGGTGACTACATACTTACGAAAAAAAGAAAGAAACAAAGAGGAGCCAGACCTGCTTTTTGTGTTGTGGGCACTAACACCCACATTTAAAAAGGAACTTGATCTCAAAAAGTAAGCACTGTTTTCCAGCTAAATCTAAGCGGTTGCAAAAACCACCAGCTTATAAACACTGCCATAGTGATGGTATCTAACACGATCAGAAGCCAAAATAGAAAGTAGCTTCTACAAAGTCCTGTAAATCCAGTTAACGGTGCCCTGCACAGGTAGGAGGACAGTTTACATCCAATCGCTTGACACGATCTTTAGTATATCTTCAGCACATAATTTAGCCTACCTCTGAGGCAGAGACTGCAAATGAAATACAGGGTGATTTTAACACATACTTCTGTTCCTGAAATCCTTTAAGACACATTTTTATGCATATTCATCATAAAATCTTGTTAAAAGAACTAGCCACCAGAAAAGTGAAGTTGAACACTCCTGTGTTCCACATCATATGTAAAAAGCAATAGAGCTATGAGATTGATCCAAACCTGAAAAAGCTGGTATCTACTTTACACTTTCAAAGAGAAAGATTTGACTAGAAAGTGAGGAAAACTCTAAAGCCAGAGCCCAGAATGAGGTTTCACCACCAGAGAGCAGAATGAGGAGCAGAAGGTTCTCAAGAGCAGAGCAGGGTAAGGGCAGGACCAAAGAAGGAGAAAGTTTTGCTCAGACTCCGTTGAGGACCCAGCAAAACCCGTCACAGTCGGGTTTCATGTAAACCCTTAATAAACAACTCTCCCCAGCACAAAGCCCTGTTCATATGGGAGACGCTGTGAAACCCCCAGTCTGGTGCCCAGGAGATTCTGGGAAGAGCCCGGGACACTCGTGTTCACATCCTGCAACAGCTACTCCAGTGCCACAGGCACCTTCGCTTATCAACTCTTTTAAGACCAAAATTGTCCAAAAGGAACTAGGTATCCGTGACTCATTACACTTAAGGGCGGACTGCAGCGGGCTGCAGCTGCCACAGGGCTTCAGTCTCACTGAAGATCAGTAAGGCTTTGCTTTAAAAGTTGGCATTTTCTGATGGTAAATCCACTATATGGAATCCTACTCTATTAAAACACTTAATCAACTGAGGAAACAAAGACATAACTAGTTTAGCAGTCAGCCTATTTCATGCTCTACAAAGTCTCTAAAGACACATTGCTTAATACCATAGAAACACTGTTTGGGACTACAGAAAATCTTTTGTAACTCCTGTTATTATTTGAAGAACTCATATAAAAACCTGGGCATTATTTAAGATGCAACCAAAAGATCCTGTGCCTCCTCCCTGAGCTTCTCTGCAAACATAGGGTCACTTGAGGGTCATTTATAGAGAGCCCTCAAATTTTCTTCTAGGAACTGTCTGACATTCCTGGTGGGCAAATCTCACTTAATAAAAAATAGTTTCAGGCAAATATCACTGCTCTGACAGCCTATGATTTTGCAGACGTGCTACATAATGGGGTATTAAACACCAATTGCTGGAATACTCCAAGGGTCCCATGATTTATTTTACTACATGACAGGAGACAAGTCAGCAATGAAAAGGTTTTACATGGGCAGTTATGGTCTCAGAGTTGGGATGTAACAGTGTAACCAGTTACATAAGAAGTTCTCCAAAACAAAATTTACTTTACATTTTAAGGAATGATTATTAAAAAATGAAAACAAACCAAACAAAATCCTTTCTATAAAAGTTCTCTTTTTACACTACCTGGAGCAAAAAAGAAGAGACTCAAAAACACCTGAAAAATGATGCATTACTGCACACATTTCACAAGACAGCAATCCCTAGCATAAGCCTAACATCGCATTGCTCTACTGGTAGCAGAGAAGGAAAACACACAGGTTAAGTTCAGCTGCCCTCTCCAATATAACAATTTAAATAAACTTAACAAGGGAACAGTAACATTCCCAGAACTTTTATAGTGACCAAAACCACCTCTGGAGAACAATGTGAACCAAACTACCAAAAAATTTCGGAGTAGCCAACTTCAGTTACACAGGGCAGCCTCACGCCAAGGCTTCTGGGGAAGGCGGGTCCAGCTGGCCTTAATCAACATCAAACTGCATCCACAGGACACACCACATTCCCCTATATTAATGAAACTGAATGGATTAATATGTTTTCAAGCATCACACTAGCATCTAACTCCCTCAGCTATCTGGTTTACATTTATACTTCAAATGCTTAGCATCTGCTGGCGCACATGCACACATAACAAAAACATGAAGATAACTGCATGCAAGAGAGTGGCCCGGAGTCTAAACTGAAAATTAAAACATCTATTAAGCACACTAATTCTTAAAATACACACACATATCACAGGTTTATATATCAGGCCTGTCTAGAGCAGACAATTTTTAACTTGAGAGGGTCCCTTTCGCCACTTTGCATTAGGAGCACTGGAAAAATAACAAAGTTGTGGCAAATATCAATCCTTCTCCAATTATGCCTGTCAGTTTTCAAATAACATTCATTTTCAAGAGTTCCCAGCTCCTGTGAGTATAGGGAAAAGGCAGGATGAAACCCGGTCTAAAGGATTTTTAGCCTCCACTACCATGTTCAAGGAAACCGGCATGAACTGCATAAATGAAAAATCTCTCTAAAATAGTCGAGGAAACCAGAAACAGCATTATGTCAGCATTAGGATATTACTTGGTGTATCTTCTTGTGAAGGAGAAAGAGTTCATGTTACTGCATTACAGATTTATATCCAGTAAAGAAATACCAGCTAATGCAGGCAAGGCTGGAGATCCTCATATAAAGAAAGCCCAAAAGACAGTATAAACCTGGGTATAAAATGGAAGCATTCCCTGCAGAATTGGATAATGTTAGACAAAGGTATCTCCTAAGCATCTAATGACTAAGGCCAGCTTGACACACACATGTCAAACCTTGAGATGATACTTCAAAACCCTCCATTCTGCTCCCTACATTTCTGAAACTTTTCACATGCTACATATGTGTGCATACTAATCTGATTAAATTAGCCATGCTCCCCCTTACAGTTGCCCGTAGCTCACATGCAGCATAACACACCTACCTCCATAAACATGCCTACCACCTGTGCCTGGCTAGTTTTACAAAGACAGAAAACTTCTGTGGTCCATGGATGAGTATGTAAATAAAGCAGGCAAAATATAATAAATGACACAAAGCAAAACATTAAATGACTGAAGCATAATCAAATTTTAGTTCAGAAGTTACCAATGCATTTTTTAAAAGCTCTGCAGCCTATGCTGCTGTATATGCTTTACATATGGACACTTAAAATACTGGATTATAACTTCCTGCTCCAAAAATATGCTATTTCTTTAGTACACTCAATTTGGTACAAAAGCACAATGTATGAAGTGGAAATACTTAGGACAAGACATTAACAGCACACAAGCAATGACATGTAGGCTATGTGTGAAGAATGTGAATATTCCTATTAATCTGAAAATATCTAATTAGAAAACAGATTGGTTGAAGTCCTCAAAACAGGAATGGAAAGAGGCATTTAAAAATAGTTCACACCACAAATAACAGTCTTCCTAACACTGTTAAAAGAAATCAAAAATAGTTCTTGATAACTCAAAGCAGATATAAACCTCAATTTTTGCAACCCACCACAAGATGATTTTCAGACCTTTGTATATACACAAAGAGCATAAAGAAACAAAGCACTTCCCCAGAGAGGCAAACAAGGAAACAAAGCCCTTTTAGCCAGAGACCACCCTGCTTAGAGCATAATTTCCCAGTTACTGGATTTCCTACTTTCCTGTAATTCCCCTGCTGCCAGGCTTGGGTGTGTTTTTTGAATGCTGACTTACCCTTAGCATTTGATCTTGAACTTCCATTTAAGTCTTTGAATGTAGAACCCCTTACTCACCTTCCTTGCTACATTACAAAGGTAACACACTCATAAAAGAAACTATGGTGAATAATTTGAGAGAATTGTTTTACAACACCAGTAAATGTTTCCACGTAATCAATGTATGCGGACAAAATCCAGTAGCTTGTTGCTAAAGGAAGCAGCTATTGAACACAGCAGTAGCCTAGATTAAACACACTGCCTATAAAATAGGCCATCTTCCCATGCCAGCCTTCCATACCAATCTCCTCAATCACTCGTTTTCACAAGCAGTTTAACTTTTAACTCAAGACCATAACCAATCATTTGAATTGTCCTTCACAGTTACCTGCAGCTGATATCATCCATTTTAGGGCAAATAAATG